GCCTTATTTGCTTTTGTGGGCACAGATTGCACGTTAAAGACTGTAAATAAAATGTAGGTATGCATGTAGTCCGGCACGCTGTTTTGTTCTTGTGCAAACAGTCGACGTTTGCCCATACCACATGTAGGCGCTACGGGTGCACCGAAACCAGATTAGCGTGGGGTGAATCGTCCGCGCATGCGCATTGCCGACAGCAGCGCCACCGCAGCAGCGTGACGTCAGAGAGTTTAGTAGGTGTGCAGTAATATTCTTTATTTCCTATTGCATGTAATAATAAGACTGAGGAAAAAAAAGAAAGTCGCGCTAGATGGCTTGACAAACTCTCAACCCCAACATACCCCAGCAGTTAGGGACAAAAAAATTAAATACAGCAAGGTCAGCATGGTAATATAGTTGTTTAGCATCAATCCACGGATAATATAGGTACTACTACACAATCAAACAATCAAATCTCTACCGGTTAGTTATACATAATGAAAAGTAATTCCTCAAAAGTTGATTTGTCAACAAAGAAAGTATAGCCCATTGACTTCGCGATTCGTCCTTGGTCCTTTTTAGGGGCAAATTCTGCAAATACTATTGACCGAGGTGTGTCAGTAAAATAAACATAACTCCCTGCGTTTTTTTTTTTTTGTTTTTTTTTTTTTTGCTATAGCGGTAGCACGATTTTGTCGACGTTGCTGGAAAGAGTGAACGAGCCTTCGCATGTGCTGCTAAGCGAGGTACACGCTCGCGTGTGTTAGTCTAAACGGCAGCGAAGTGGATAATTTGGCTAGTTTGTTCACGGATAAAAAAGTATAAATGCGCCGTAAGCACCGAGGACCAAGACTTAGAGAGGCAACACAAGGAGGCGCACTCTCAACTGCTGTTTCTTCGGAAAGAACGAGTATAATACGTACAGGCCCTATCGGCGTGTCTATACTCTGTATTTCCCTCAAAAACCTTATAAAAAAAAAATTGATTTTTTTGTGCATAGTCTCTTTTCTTTTTATTTTTTTTATACGGTGAATCAAGATATTTGTAGCCGCATATTAGACTAGCTATGTGTTGGGTTATCAAGACGTGTACGTTTCAAGAGCCGAACGCGTTGTTTCGTCCCCCGACAACCCCATCTTTTAAGCACTGCTTCGCGCTGCGTGTGGAATGTGCAAAACGCGTTTTTTTTTCTTGACATGACAACAAATATAGTTATTATCATATCTGTACAAAGCTCGTTGAATACCATCGAAATGTTTTCTTTGAAAGGGCTATAGATGTTTATATTTTGTAATCCATTCCATTGTTTCGAAATTCGCGCATGCCTCATAAGTTTCTCGGGTTATTTCATTTTTACATATGGCTAGAATCAGTGTCGTCCTACTTCGTCCTTGTCCTTGTTCTTTCCGGCGCTTTTCTACGCCAACTCGACTAACATCTAGTTCTAGACACTACGATGATGCTGAAGCCTCACGCGAATTAAAGACGCGAATCTGGTTTTTGCGCATGTCCAGTGCCCAGACTGGTACGGGAAAACGTGGGCTTGTTTGTAAACAGCGTGTTGGTGTACACTTCTTAAAAATCTAGAACGGCTGACATCTAGGGAGTCGTAGCAGACGGCTTTTTTTTCTTTCCATGCACTCCTGGCTTGCCGCACGTTCTGAATGCTCGCGGTATCATAAAGACCGAGCCCACGTCGTCGTCGAAACGACTCCCTCCTCTTTGCTCCGCAGTTTCTATTTATCTTATTTCTTTGGAGTGCACGGTTTTAACGTCGTCGTAACTTCTTGAGGGTTTTCTTTCGTGGCGACGAGCGTCAGTCACGTGGTCCGGCTCCCCCTTCTTGACGGATGATGCGAGGAACGCCAGAAATGATGGATGTTCGCGCGTGCGCAGTTCCGGAACGCTGGTCTCAAACAGAAATAAGAAGCACGTGGGACGGGAAAAGAATAATGCGTGTCCCCGGCTCCGACAGGGGGAGTTCCAGCCCCGACGACGACGACTCGGCCAACTCGGCGTTGAGACGCGAGGCCAAACACGGAGCGCGGCAACTGCACACCACCTGCGACGGGCGCCCAAGCCGTGTGTCCCCAAGCGCTGTCTTCCGGCTTACAGCACACTACATCCCGTTCACCCTTAAGCTGAGAAGCTCCGCATTCAGCGCGAGCTTGCTGGCTTCCGCAGTGCTCTGGTTACGCGTGCCCGCGTGTTCACACTGGAATAGTTATTTATGTTTTGAATAGTTATTTATGTTTTGATAACAGCGGGAAACCACTAGCAACATATCAAATCTAATCAGCAGGCCTAGTAGTCTTTCAATATCGAAGAGGCACAGACGTTGGATATTGTTTGAATTTATAAAACTGTAACTGTAAACTAGAGTCGCTAGCTATTAGCTGTCATATTAGTAAGACATAAAAAGTCACCACATCATTGACCTATTATATACAATTCTTTCCGAAACCAAACAACAGGGTTTGTTCACCGCACATCGCACAGATCACCAGGGCATTGTCCTTTCACTTCCGCAATACACAAACGTGAAGACACAGAAACGATCCGAAATATATATATATATATATATATATATATATATTGATTTGTTTGTTTTTTATTGTAAAAATAAATGATGCATTAATTGAACGCTCAGCTTCCACCCAAACTAGCGGCCCGGACCAGATGACCAAGATTCTGAACTAACCGTTATCTTATTTAAAAGTTATAAGCGATCTTGGAAAATTAGAAAATGGTATCCCTTGACGCCCATGAACACATGGGGCTGAATGGCGTCAACTATCGGGAACGGATCCCATTTTCCCACGGCAGAATTTGAGGAAATCCCTAATAACTTTTGAATACGATAACGCTTAAAACGTGGACATCGTAAGGACAGTACGAGCGGGTTGGTATGGATAGTTAAACTTGAGGAAGAAAACGAGAAAGGACGGACAAACACAAACAAACACATGTGGACACCGTCTTTCTTCGTGTTTGTAGGACTCGGTGAACTTTCGGAGATAGCCGGTACGTTCTGATGTCTCCAACATGTGTCAATTAAAGTTGAACGATTCTATAAGTCACGTTGCAGTGGTAGTGTTGAACGCAGCCATCATGGGAGGCTAAATCTATAGAAACGCTTCTTGGAGAAATAGGTCACCACCTGACGAAATCGCCATACGTAGGATACGTCTTTGGGCCAATATATCCCGGTGCAATCATTCATGTGCCGAGACTATAGCAGCGCGACTTCGGACAAATAAAACGCCGTTTCTTGTTTTCAGGGCCACATGATCACTGATGCCAGCCAGTAAGAGTGAGGCGCCAGCGAGATAGTGGATGAGCAGGCTGCGAAGATACATGCTCATCTGCTATCTCACACGACAAGCTTTCATTGTTAGAATCGCAAGTGAGAGTGTGAAGCACGGCTTTGGGCAACATATTGAAAACACGAAATGACATGTTGTGGTGCCCAGGAGGCGTCTCTGACTAACGTTTACCGCGTCCAAAAAAAAAAAAAGTGATTCCTCGTCCGCCTGATGACGTCAAAGAAGTGTCATGCTATCGCCGGTCGCGATCCTGGCGGCGTCCCAGCAGCGGTGGTGAATGTGGCAGACCCCTGTTCCGTTGCAGGTCGCTCTCCAGCGTGGCAGTCCACGGAAGCTTCGGCAACCAGAAGTTGGGACGCCGCGGTGACATCGACATTCAGCGTTAACTGCACATGGAACGAAGCAGGCATTGTCTGTAGCCGTTTTGTCCATAGCAGCGAAAATGGCACCTAAAGTCCCATTGGCCAAAAGCACAGCAACCCAAATGCTTCGTCACAAAAGCCGGCTCAAGGTCAAAGCGGACGTGCATCAGAAATAAAACGCAAAGCAAAGCACTGCAACACATATGCATCGTCACGGAAGCCGTGAAGCCGTCGAGGTTCGCCGCGCCTGCGCAGCGAGGGAGCGTGATGTCACCGCCGGAGCGCCATGTGAAAAAGGAAAACGTGACGCACTGCGCTTGTAGGAATGCGCTGCGTGTAGGAATGTTCTCGCCTTCTTACACGTAAGCAATCTTAGGTGTATCTGGCGATTTTTGTTTTTCGGAACATATACGTCTAACTGCCGGGATCGTGACAACTGACAGCATAACACTCCGGCTTTGGTGATGTCCTTCGTCGTTACTTCGGGAGCACTTTTGGTGTATGGGCGGCATAGGACGCTAAACACACCAGTCGAGGCGCGTTTTAGGCATCGTATAGTTGCCACTGCAAGTTAGTTGCTTGTTCGCAAAACGTACCAAAGCCCCAACATGAACTCACGGAAATGCAGATGAACTGGGTGCCTAAAGAGTACCCGCGCTAGAAACATGCAGAAGCCTATGAAAACAGAAACCGCACTCGAACCTTTTATTCTAAGCATTCAACGGAAGGATTTAGAGCATAAAGATGGTATTACCGAACCTACCTTACCCCGATGTTGAAGATTGATGGACAATCTTGTTTTGCTTTTTTTTTTTTTGTCAAATCGTACTTTTTATTACTTCAAGATAATTCGAAGGTTGCGCGACCCCCCTCATAAGTCTGCGGTCAAATTAGGTAATATTTCGTGCGAATGCTCAGTGTACGCAGTACCGAATCCGCCGCCATTACAATTTCTTTGTTTACAAACCCGTGTCTCAGAAAGCTCTATACGAAACCAAAATACACAATCGTCTTTTGTTTAGAAAATTGTTGTCAACTAATTACCTGTGTGATCTTGACCCTTTTTAAGCTGGAAATATCAATCATGATAGTAAGACAGAAACAAATAAGGGTAAAAAAGGAAAAAAAAAAAAATATTATAATTCCTACGGGAGTAATGAACGGCGGTCCAGGGCCGCTGAAATGTCGAACGTAATTTCTCAATAATCGAATCTGCTCTCTCCGCAGAAATTAACAGATGTAAAACACCGTTCTCGAAAATCTAACGTAAACACAATAGATGAAAGAAATGCGGTGCGACTAATGTGCACTCATCGTGCAATAGAATTCAACAATATTAAAGCAAAATATTCTCAGTCTTTAAGACCCGTTTATTTCTGTAAAATACAGGGCACTCCTCTTTGAAAAATAGTGACCAGTTCGTCTCCTACTGCAGACGATGTTGTGGTGACGTCACAAACAATAAAAAGAGGTATATATGAGACAAGTCGCCTTTTGGTTCCTGTAGTTCACCAACGCTTTCTAGGGTGAGTCATATGTATAAGGCAGACAGTAGCCCTTTCACAGCACCACCGTAACAGCCATGCTGTCCATATTGTCCACTCTTGTGCACAAAAGGTCAGTGGTTCACAATCACGTTTGCATGGACGCCAGCACTAAAGGAAAGGCACCGAAGGGCACACAAACTCAGCTCAGAATATTGGGCTGAATTCAGAACAGTCAAATCCCAGTGACGTTCATCGTCAACGGCGCGCTAGTACGAGCTTAAATTTATGAGCACTCATTATTCTGAACTGAACGGCACAAACTACATCACATTCCCTCCTTGGGGCCGTCTTGACTTGTTTGGCTGACAACGCAAAGCCTTGTATCTTCAAGACAAGGACCGGCCACTTTGATCCCAGGTTCGTTCGAAACTTTCCACGCAGGGCATTCATTCCCAATATTCACTTCGATGCACTCTCCACTCTTGGAAACTGGACATGTTTCGTCGTCAACTGCTCTTATTACAGCTTGCACGAGAGATCAGGATGCCCCTCAAGGAACTCAGAGCGCGGGCAGCCACGTCTTTCTCATGGCCCACTGTGTACATCTTCAGTTTCGACACTTTTCAAGGTCGTCCTTGCGATTCAAACTTGCATGAGACCGAGCGAGCGGACACCATCTGTTCATTTGAAAACTAGTCAGATTAACCGGTCTACCGGTCATCATCGTCTTCCGATAGAATCCCGAGCCTCCTGCCAACACACTTCACCGACCGGGTAACTTCTTCTTGCACCAGATTGAAGGACATGGCCAGCAGGGCCATGCCAAAGAGCAGGTAGACGGCACAGACGGCAAGCGTGACCTGCTGGTCGTCCGAGAGGGCCGTTCCGGGCACCAGGTCACCGAAGCCGATGGTTGTGAGCGTGACGAAGCAGAAGTAGGCGCTGTCTAGGTACCCCCAGCCCTCCCAGGAGTAAAAGAGCCAGGCGCCGCCGCAGATGTAGCCCACCACGATGCCGCAGCACAGCCAGATGGGCACGGATCCGACGGCCTCGTTGTCGTCTTCGTCATCGTCGTCGTCCAACGTGTTTACCGACTCGTCATCGGCCAGGTCACCATCGTCGCGCCATGCCCTGCGACTGGAAAGCCGTGAGGTGGAGATTGGTGCCAGATCATCTCTTTAACGGTTGCATATAATCACTGTAGGTTATTCCCGATTTTCGTATGCTCTGGTCTGCCGAGCACAGGATGGCGGTTGCCTGATGCGTCATCTAACGAACGGGAAGAGACTGCTTCGCTTAAAAGAAAGCACCACCCCACCAAACAGGGGAGATGATGAAATGGTCTTTCTGAATTATCACAGATACGAATTACTAAATGATTTTGATTAGAGATATGCAGCCACAACATCTCGGAGTATTTAAACTGGATGTGCATACATACAACTCAATTTAATTATGTGAACTGTGAGCATCCACTACTGTGCTCCAGGAGGATGCACTTCTAAGACGCACATAATAGTCAGTTTAAAATTAAACGCCAAGCAAATAAACTTAGTTTACATCTTTCAAAAGCGTGGACACATGGATCACATACGAAAGAGTGTCATTAGAATCACTGCGCTCGAGTTTGAATGCGGCATCTATGAAACACTCAGGTTTCCAAGCTAGCTGCTGTGAACAGTACCGCGGTGCATTGCCATCGAGATCCCTAACAGAACACACTAAAGCAAGCAATGTGGGTACACCAATTAAAAAAAAGTTACAATATTTTGTAACCGCCTTTCATCTTTAAAAACCAAAACAAGCTGGTAAAAGTTACAGGAAGACCCATTGGTGGATTCTTAGGAATGCGTTAGCATGATCCTTGGAAACACCACGTACCCTTGGAAACGTTAACGCTGACTCCTTCATTTTTCTCTTTTGGCTTTCTTTTTTGCTTCCTCTATTTTCTCTGCCTCTTTTAGGCCTCGGTACGGGGTAAGTGTTAGCGTTTCCCAAAAGGGGTCGTGTGTGGCGTTTCCCAAGGGTCATGATAACGGATTCTTGAAGAATCCCCCAATGGATCTTCCTGTAATTTTGTTCACCCCTCTTCTGTATTCTTCCTGTCAATACGTCGATGCCCTGAAATACGATCACTCGTGGAAAGAACCAGATTCATACCACTCGTGGAAGGAACCGCATCTAAAGCAGTTGTAGACTGAATCTCATCCATCGTCCTAACTATACACACACACCACAGCCTACGCACTGCTACTACGTAACCCAGAGCAAAGAACAACCGGCGACGGAAGACCGACAACTGAGCACGCCCGCATTCCACCGCGCCGCGGCGCAACACCTTCTAGATAACAAAGCCATTGCGTTGAATGAGATGGCGCCATCAGAGAAGGCCAACACTGCACTGATTGGACACGACCATTCCGTCAACGTTCGGCTCAAACTTGACTCGAAGCCGAGCGCTGACGCAGCACTCGTTTCCAATCTGTGTCCAGCGATGTCCTTCTCTGATGACGCCATCTCATTCAGCACTACAGCTTTGTTGTCTAGGAGGTATTACGCGGCGTCTCCCTTTCTCTGGCTCCGCGCAAAGCTGTGAGCGTTACTTTGCCGAAAACGAGAGGGCTCTTTCTGACGAAAGCTCAACGTTGTCTGTCAGTTTGTCAGCGCCTGGAAGAGAGGCACAAGTTAACGCGTGCTGACATCAGCGCTTCGAACCAATGGGAGCGTCGCATGCGTCACCCTCTCCCCCTCCTTCCCCTTTCTCCCCGGCACAGGCAGACGGGAGACAACACCGAGTTTTCGTCAAAACGAGAGTTCTTAAGGTTGGTTCTCACACCTGCGTTGGTTGCATTCGCATGCTACCGAAACAACCGTAACGACAAAGTCACCGGGACAGCTGTTCGCCGTACACACCATGGCAAGCGATGCAAGGCGTAGCTTCGCGAAGCAATCGATGAGTCACTTTTGTTGCGGTGGTTTGGTCGTTACTGTCGTTTCGGTTGCATGCGATCGTAACCGTTGCAATGTGTGAACCAGCCTTTATGCCAACACATTAAAACCCAAAATAATACGAACGCGTACATTGTACCCCAAGGCTCCGCGTTCTGCCTTAAGTGCGTTGACAAAGTCTGTTGCAACAAAACATCTGCAGTAGAAGCTCACCTCCAGCACAAGCCATCTACCCTCGATAATACTTCGGTGCACAAGCAGCCAAAGCACGACGGAAGGCAAAGAACGTGGGCTGGAAGCGAAGCTTTTTCTTCTAGATCTTATCTTGACTACTGCTGACGCTCGCTATGACAACCTTAGTAGGAGTAATTTTCCATTCATTGACTAAAATAAGGTGCCTCTACTGTTGTCTTGGACGGTGTTGGTTTAAAACTAGAATGGCTCCAAGTTGACACTGTGATTTTTACACACACCATTGAACCTGTCCATCGCAGCCGATGATAAGCAGTCAGGATCAGAACTGTTGACGTCACGGAGAGGCAAATCCTGGTCTTAACAAAAAAGAAAGGGCGCCACCAAAAATATCTCGGGCTATCACTGGAATGCATAAAGCTTTTTAGCCGAACACTCCCTATCGACGTGCTCCCCTTGGCGGACTTACGTGACAACATGAGATGTGCTCAAACAGCGCCGAACGAAAATGCATTTACTTGCGTCTGGCCTGAGATCGGAAGTCCGGCGCTCCGGGGCTGGAGACAATGACGGAGTCGTCCCCCAGCGCGTACTTGTTGCTGATGACGGGCACTCGTGCTGCCTCTAAGTCGGCCTGCCTGCGGGCCGGGCCGGACCGAGGAGACGGGAAGGCACCCGACAAGCCCGCCCCCACGATTCCAGCGGCAGGTCCGGCCACACTGGGTCCCAGCTCCTTGTAACTGGGCGGTGGCGCCAGTGCTCCTGTCCGAGTGGCAGTGAAGACGTATACACACAATACCGTTGATTAAGTATGCGGCTTTAGCTGTATGAAATGCAATTTACCTGGCACACCAGTATGTTTTAAGCGTAGCTGAACATACGATACAAAACTTGCAACAGGGAATTATCCGTAATAACACAAACAAGAATGAGTTTCGAAACTTTACTTAGCAAAACAAACGGAATAATTTATACCACCTAGGAACATCCATAGGGAAATTAGTTACACACCGCATTCACCGCGCTGCGATTTAGTCAGGGCAGGGTGCACTAGAACTGGGAGGTGTGCAGAACGCGTCAGCCTCTCCGTAGGATCTAAAAGAGTCGTGTGGACGAATTCTGCCGCAGGGGCTTGAGGTGGAGCTGCCAGTCACAACGGGGCCAGGAGTCCAGTTGGGCACCATTTTGCGAGACTGGCTTGGCGCGTTTTAGTGTGACTATTTTGTTCTTGTTTTGCGTACTGTGTTAAGCAATACAATATTGTGTGGTTGCTAGCTGTGCCGAAGAAACAAAGGGCTCAAAACGATGTAAAATACCGCAAAGAAAAAAAACCGGAGCGGTGGTGTCTTGCGCCGGGGTGCAACGTGGGTGACAACACATGCAAAGAAAAACGCTCCTTGTTTGGGACGCCGAGCGACACCACTCTGCTCGCGGAGCGGGATCGTCTGATTCCAAAAACGAATTCTTCTGATGTCACGATTTTTTTTTTCTGGCGGAAAAATATGATGCAAAGAAAAAATAGAAGTTTAAGAAGAAAGTGTTGCTTATGACACGTCAGAGAGAACAAATTTTCCCAAGTGGGATTGCTCTTCAATAAAGGAATTGAGCCACTTCCAGGACGTACCGAGTGTTGAACTCGGTCTGAGCACCAGAACGGCCCCACAATAAGCCACGCCGCACGGTGCAATGTGGGATTGACGAGAGGCCTAGTTGGACTTTTCAGAAAGGTCTATTGTTCCCGCTCAGCACTATGCCCTGTTGCAGGTTAAGAAAACAGAACAAACTACTCTTGAAAAGCACTCCACTCTTTCCAACTTAGCAGAACGAACACTAAAAGAGAAGGTTAGAGAGAAGGCGAGTCGACTCCCCTCCTGTCTCGCGTTCACTCTGCAAAAGCGGAGAGAGTGGAGGACTTTCCGGGAGGAGCCTTGCTCTGCTCTTCTTAACCCTCAACAGAGTACAGTATAAGCACCAAAATGGCGGCGCCCACAAGAAAATCTGGAATCGACTGCCGATACTCTAAGCGTCGCTATGCCTTTTTTCGTGCATGTATCTTGCTCTTTACCCGGTGCACCGGTTGCACGCGGATGATCGGAAGATCCACTCACCGTGTCCAGCAGGGCCACACTGGCGCAGACTCATGGCCTGCTGTTGCAACTGTCGCTGCTGTTGATGCTGCTGTTGCTGTTGCTGGTGGTGAAAACTGCGACGGGCATAGCGTCCTTTGGCCTGCAATAAACGTTTGAATTCTGAGTTCTCGTAATCTCTTCTTTGTGTTTCCTTCCATAAAAAGGGCAAGGTCGTTCGCTTTTTTTTTTTAGTGGTTCTGGTGACGTTACAACGTCGAGCTCTGATTGGCTCTGAGTGAAGGATAGTGGGTATACCTCAAGGAAGCTAGCATTGAGGTCTGACCCACTATCCTTCAATCAGAGCCAATCAAAGCTCGGCGTTCTGACGTCCCCACAATCCCTGAAAAAGAAGCAGATGAACTTTCGCTCCGCATAAGCCACGCCTCGTGTTTCTTAAGCTGCAGGTGTTCTTTTTTTGTATCCCATATACGTGAAGGGAAGATAGGAACCTGGTTTCTGAGCAGACGCTGTGCCCACACGCACACTTGGTTTTGGGCAGTGTGGATCAAAACGGCGCTCGTTGTCTTTCTGCGTACGCCGTTACAGGCTGGACCAACCAGGTACCGAAAAGAGCGCGCGACATCGGCGCATTCGCTGAGACTGCTTTTGACGGCCCGTGATTAGCTCTTTGTCGGTAATTGGCTCTATCGGGTCGTAGCGTCCGCCGCGGTCGGACATGAAGTGAAACGGCGTAAAGTAAACAGGTGGCTTGTAAACACAGTGCATAGTCACGCCGAATGAAGAAAAAGAACACAAGATGTCGCGCGGTGATGAACTCGCCTCCTGCACGGCCTTCCGGTGGCAGATGGAGCAGCAGATGTACCGGTACGAGAACTTGAAGCTCTGCGCCATGGCGTCGCCGATGTTGGACAGGCACAGCAACATGAGAGGGATGCCGATGATCGCGTACAATATGGTCACCACCTTTCCCTGGGGGGTCTTGGGGGCGATGTTGCCGTAGCCTGTGCCATGGACAAAAACGCGCTGTCTCGAAGCGAAGCGCAAAGGCCAAATGGGCCGTGAGTGTGCACACTATTCGGGCAGAGACAGAGAGAGAGGAGACGAGAGCGTGCGGGGAAGTCAGGACGCCGAGCGCCGGTTGGAATAATTAGTGGCTGGACGCAAAGCTAGCCTTTGACTCCACTGCACTCGTAGAACGCTTTCGAATGAGAAAGTCAAACGCCGGCGTTCCGCGCCAGACGAGTGCTGTGGCATAGCCTTCTCTATACTCACAAAGTCTGGCAGGTGGACGACGGAGCGATAGAGTGCCCGGTCGCAGATTTGGAGCGCGAGGATCTGCTAGCACAGAGCATCTAAGAGCCATTTCTCCGGGAACCTAGATGTCAGCGCAGAGCTTTTGTAGCGGCCAGGACCCGAAACACACTTGTTCGCTCGGGAGAAGTGTGTTTCGGCGCCTCGCCGCAGCGGGGCGCCAGTCACGTGGCTGTCCTAAGCTAAGCTCGTAAACTACCGCCCGATCCAAAGGGCTCAGCCGGATTCATCCACCCTTCCATCCATCCTCTCATTCGTTGTCTGCCACTCCACCTTTTCCATTTCGGCGGCCGCTTCTCGGGGTGATCTGCCCGGCTTTGTCGGTATATAGGAGGCTATGGCTGCGGAGACAAAGGCAGCTAGCTCTAGGTCATGCTGCTCTAGGTCTACCTACTGATTATTCCAACCAGAGCTCGACGTCCTGACGTCCCCGCGCGCTCTCGTCTCCTCCTCTTCCTCACTTTCTGTCCGCATAGTCGCTGACAGAGTGAGAAGGTAAGGCCGTGCTTTTCGAACGTCCGACATCAAGCACGCGCTCCATACCTTCCGCCGTGCTTTGTCTGCTCGTGCGTGCTCAAGGTAGCACGAGACTTCGAAGCGTTGCCGAAGGTAGAAAGCTCGCCTGGAGGCGAGGCAACCGAAGCTTTTCCGTGTCGCTCTCTATTTGTCAGTGATCACGGACGTAAGGAGCTAAAACATGGGGTTGGCAAAAATTGCAGAAAAAACATATCTGCCCACTGTATGTCAGCTGATTCTTAATTTCATATGCTTTAGTGTATATTCTTTATTCCAGGCAAAAACGTCCGAGAGGCTAGGGCAAAACTAAACGAAATTGCTGTGTGACCCGAAACCCGTATATCCCTGATTGCATCACTTAAATCTTTTAGTTACGGTCACACATGTTATGAAAAAAAGTGTGTTGTGTGTGTAGTTTTAGACAGCAGGAAGTTGATCAGACCCAGCGGGCTGCTGGTGACTCCTCTGTGGATGAGAAATTTAACCAGTGCATTACGACTGCATTTCTTTTTAAGATGCATCACGTAGCTGTGATTACACAAACGCACGTCGGTGCGGTGCTCATTCAGATCAAGCTTGGCAGAGGTGGGAAACATGCCCAGGGTCCCCGGTTTCTGCACAGCAGGTTTTGACTCTATACGTGCTCCGAGCTGCAGTGCCTTAGCACACTTGGCCACCGTTCCTCCAGCCTGCCGGTTTGTTGACGTAGTTTGGTTTTTCTCGCTGGCGCGCTTGCAATGCACGTTTCCTGTAGAGGTAAGGGTAAGGGCAAACCAATATCTGCTGCTTGACGTAAGTACCTCGTCTATCTTTATTTTCCAAGTTGCGTGCAGCACTCGCGGAGGCGAGGGCGCGAGAGCGTAGCTTTGCGAAAAGATTGGTTAGCACAAACACTCGCGGATAGCAGATTCTTTCGAGAGCCATGCTCCCGAGGCCGTCTCATTGCTTTCGAAATTTTGGGAGATGAATTACACTAGGCTGACAAATACTAAACACTAGTCACCAAATCGCCACAAATCAACATGGTTTTGAACACACGGGAGTTCTGAAGATCGCTCGATTGGCCAAAAGGCTTATTTTGATCCCTCGGCAAACAAACACTGGTGCTTGCCGAGCTAGTTGAAACAGGAAGCACCCCTCTCTTTCTCTCCCTCTCCCTCTTCCTACATGGACCATCATCACGGTCGGATGGCGAAAACTCAGCAATCGAGCCCGAGCACGATGCAGAGCGTGCTTGGACATGAGGCTCAGCCGAACGTGACGCCTCATTCGTATCCGATCAGCGTCTTCGCTTGATCTCACTGTGATGACGTCAAACTTCTACTGCACAGACTTTGAATATTATTGGAGCTTTTAGACCAAGCCATAAGTTTGTGCTACATAACAGCGACCGCCACTTTCGATTAAAAAGAAGAAAAAAAAGGTCTCCTTGTGCCGTAGGTAAATGGGACGCAAAATAATACTGAAATACGGTTACGTATCATACACCTTACCGAAGCTGATAATTTTATGATGATTCATATTCTCGCTCAGGGACATACATAATGAGGCCAAAATTAAAACCCAACGTGTTTATTATTTAGCAGCAATTTCGGAAGACTGCCGTTTTTCTGCGCATATTAGAAAGTTTTAGAATAGGGGGCCCCAACGTTTGGGTTTTCTGAAGAAATGGGGGGACCCAAACGCAACAAGGTTGGCGTCGACGGCTTATAGAATAGGGGTTTTGCAATGCTGCGCAGCGCATTTACGTTTCCCGCTTGCAGCGCCAATGCGGCCAACGAGCGTAATACTCAAAAAAAGAAAAAAATATTTAAAAAAAACGTAAAACATATGCGCTTGGTAAGTTCTTTTGGTTTGCAAATAATAGTTAAAGTCAATCCCAATCACGCCGGCTAAAACAAGAGACAATCTAAAATCAGTATAAATGTTGTTGGCTGTATTCAGTCACAACAATCGAATCCGTAGAGCTCCAATTTGGCGCTCGTTCTAGGATTTTTTGAAGCGTTCGTGTGCGCTTTCACCGTCTGTCGCCGAAGATTTCCTTCAACTATGCCGCAACTGAGATTAACGCGAGCGAGCATACTCTGCGAGCAGCTGCTTTATTTAGATCTGAGCTGCTGCGACTTGGATGCCTTGTTTTTAAGCTCAGGTAACGTGCCGCCAACGAAATCCTCTCCGAGCCACGGAGTGGCGATACGTCGCCATGTTAACAATGGACCTTTTCCGAGAAGCGTTCTGCGCACGCGCGAGCGCCCGATGCCAAGCGGTGGAAGTCGGCACGAAAATTCGAGGAAATTCGAAATGAGGCTGTAAATCGACGAGTAGAACACGTAATTGCAGCATATATATAATTGTGTTACACAAAAAAAGAAAGTGGACGGAAAGAAAAACACGACGTTTGGGTGAGCGCTACGGATTTCCCTCTTTAAAGTCGCGTTAGGCCTACCTCGTTGCGTTGGGCACGCGACGCTGCTCAGGGAGCGAAGCAACTGGTAACGTAGCTCCCATTATCGATGGTAGCGCAGGTAGGTCACTTCCTCGACCTTTAGTTCGTGCAGCCACCGCCTGGTGCCGTCGGTATTTGGAAAAGGTCCATTACCGCGTCTCTTTAGGCTTAGGAACGGCCAGGATACGGGACGATCTTTAATATGGGGCGAGCCCACCGCTCATTCTTTGTGACTTGAGCGAGATAAAGCAAAGCAAAAGCCGGTTGCACCATTCATTGTCAATGTAATTGGCTAATACTGCAGCGGCCATGACGAATTTACTCCGAAGCGAGCGGAAAAGGCGCCGCCATGTTTGCCGACGCAACCCGGCCCCAAGCAAGTATAGGGCCCCACACCACTTCTCGAATTTCGCGTTGGGGGCGAGCCCCAACCCAAAACCCAAAACGGAGTTTAAGTTCGGCGCATGCGCAGTGGTGAGCCCCTATTTCTTTGGGGCCCCCAAGCTTTGGGGCCCCCAAGCTTTGGGGCCCCCTATTCTAAAGCGCTACATTATATGATGACAGAGAAGTATCGCCAAGTTAAGCAACGCGACTGGAATAAACGCGGCTGGTTTCATCGTGTGACTGATCAGAAACAGGAGTTTGGTTGTAGAACGGCCCCTCTGCTGCCTGTCATAATCTCCCGTAAGGTGATCGCGTCACTTGTGCGCGGAAATTAAATTAAAATAAAAAAAAAAAAAAAAAAAAAAAAACGTCGCGGGTTTGGAGGTGGTAGTGTTGCATCGTGGTCAGCGCAGTTGAAGGCGTTGGCGCCTTGAGTAAAGAACTGGCCGTATTTTTCTGTAAACAAAAGAAAAAAATTACTAATGGGGCAGTGAGCAACAAACCTGTACAAACCCACTTGCAGGCGTCTACCAAACCAAGTGTGGCATATAGCCATATAGCTCAAGAGGAGAACGGCAGTGAGGTCCTTCGGTCTTCCCGCCTCCAGCGCGACCTTTCTACCTTCGATGAGTCTTCGACGTCTCGTGAGCCTCGAGCGTGCACGCACAGCCAACGCACGGCGGAAGGCAACGAGCGAGTGCTCGAGGCCAGGTATCCAAAGGAGACGCCCTAACGCTTTCGTTTCTAGCGGCTGTCTCGAACGAAGCGATTTTTATGCCTCATTCACACTGGCGGATTCGCAGGCGAATACGCGGGGAAATTGACGCTGCGAGGGGGAATCCCCAAGCCGACAACGGAATATTCGATTGCCGGAGCAATCGGTCCGGGACTGATTCTTCCCACGCAGAAAACGTTTCCACGTCGCCGCGGCCAATCGGAACGCACAGAGGAAATGGCGCTTTCTGGCGTCACATCCTGGTCGAGCCGGCCGAGCCGCCCGGGTCGGCTGCCGCCAGAGTTGTCGGAGTTCCCAAGTTGTGCGAATGGCGCCGTCTCGCTGGTATCGTTGTGTTGGCGGAAATACTGATCGAGACTCAATTATTCAACCCTACTCGACAAGCAACATCTGAGCAGCGAAGATAGTGCCCACCAACATTAACGTGAGTGGTACGTACGCACGTTGTCTTTGTTTGCTCGTTATGTTATTATTGCCTTTTCGTATCGACGGGAGAATGTTGGGCGCTTTCTCGGCACCGCGGGTTAGCGTGAACTGCAAGAGAAAGTCTGCGACCACTCGAGCTAGGGGCAGTCTGCTTTGACATCTTTATTCTTTATTCATCATTG